TTGTTGATGAGGCAGTATCCTTTACCGAGTGAGTATTTCATGTTCTAATGGGTTTCCAGTTATTAAGATCAGCAACATTTCTATAGCTAAGTATTTATCACTGACTTCCTCTCTCTTTTCCCTCAAGAAAGGCTGTCTTAAAGAAATAAAAATAAACACATACAATGATTCTTTCATCCCCATGCATTTTTATCTTCCCTTTCCGTATGGTGCTCTTCCATATGGACAATAAGGATTGCAACACATAGTCTGGGATGAGGTGTGTTGAAGTTTATTGCAACTGATGGTCTTTCTCCGTTCATCCAGGTTACAGGTGATGTAGTAAACGCAGCTTCGTGTTCTCACCCTACATTGATATTTCCAATCCTGAGGACTGCACCCATTGTCTGGAACATGATCCCGGCAAGTATAAAAGTATGCTGCCCGTCGGCTTCTGCCTGTGGAAAAAAAAAATTCATCATCAGAAGAGATCAGCCTTTTTAGTCATTTATCTTTAACATGTTATGGTTTTCAACGACAAATAGAGTAGAGTTGACAAAGTATCGGACGGCTTTGATATCTTTATCATAACTAGCAAGATTTAAATGGGAAAATCAAATCTAATAAAGTTGCATTGTATGGTGTGGTAATTACGACTATACATCCCAACAATTTCCGAAGGAATAATTTGATATCAATTTTGTACTTTGTCCTTTGTGTTTTCGGTTTAGTTTCAGTCTAATTTTCGCCGGCAATTTTTTTTATTTATCCTTTCTGATCCGGAAAGGTACAGACATATTTAAAAATGAAGAAACATCACTAAGTTTTAAATTTAACGCTGCCACGTTTCCATTGTATTTATTGTGTTTGAACGAGTGAAACACTCGCCATCAGCTTAGAATCTGATATTCAGATTACACTTTGACGGCTTTTTACATTGGGACCGCAGCTTAATAATGCCTGTAGCAAGTAAATGAGATTTCCGTATATAGGCAACTGTACTCTTCTCCATTCGTGGTTCTCATCCTTTAAACATTTTTCGCCTAGTGAAACAAAAGCATTTCAAACAGCTTCCCTTCGGAGTGCAAATTGCCTTTTCAGAGTGACTTTTAAAAAGCATTCAAGTTTGTTTTTCTCTCTAACAACAGCAAAACGCTTCCCTTCCTTAATCAACCTTTTAAGGAAGCCTTCATTGCAATGGATGTAAGATTTGAATATTGGGGATAGGACTTTATCACAAATATTTAACAATCCTTCCACGTGGGCGTATTGGATATGATTGGACGTGATACTTTCGGTTCAACGCGCGATCGTCTTCATACATGCGCATGGTATAATGACTAAGCCTATGAAAACTCTTGAATTGCATTATCAAGTAATCCACTTTTAATAACATTGAATCTTTCCCAGTCAAGTTTAGCAAGAGCGTGTTCGGTCACATGACCCACTTAAAGCCAACATTACCGGGCAAAAATATTTATATTGATGGACTTTAAACAGAAATATATAAAATGATGGCCTTTTCAGAAACTTATAACTTACCTACAGAAACAGAGTCTGGTACATATTCCCTCAGACGGTAGACTGGGTACTGGTCACAGAATTCTCTGATCTCCTTTCTGAGGAAGATCTTATCTACTTCTCCGCTAACTATCCACTCTTTGTTCACCGTCGAGATTTGATAATCAGTGGGGCGACTTATAGCCTTGAGAATAATGAAAAAAAGTAGGAAATGATTCAGTTATCCATTGGGACAAAGGCCCCTTACGGCCACACGGCAATTATAGCATTTAGAGTCTTTAGACGAAGAAGCTCTGCAGAGCAAGGGAACACGGCAAAATGTTATTTTTTTTTACCTGGTTTTATTCGTTGTTTATTCGCCAGTTTGAATTTTCGCCATTTTGTTTTTGAGTATTGTTTACTGCTTACGCTTTGTATCGCAGGCGAGCGCCGAGGGCACGAGAATTTTCCAGACTAGCCCCGGAGGGGCGAGAAATAACGGGGAGTGAAGCCGTTGGAATTCAGCCGTTAGAAGACGGTGTTGTAAATTGCTAGAGCAGCGCTCGTTGCTAGGAACAGAAATGTAACAGCAAGAACAAATTTATAAGGGAAAACCGTTCGAATGACTGCTGTTATGACATGCACATAAGCCTTTATTTTGAATTTTTCAAGCTAAAGTAACTTTAAATCTTTTTGTATTCAGCAGAATATTAGAAAACTTCTGTGAAAAGTCGTGTCACACTGTTACCGTTGACAATATATACGGCAAATTTCAACTTGAATGTAAGAAGAACGGCCAGCCTATTCAAAACAGAGCAACATTTGGAAGACTACTTCTAAGGGCCATGCCTTCTGTCGTGAAAAAGAAGAAGAGAATTTCTAGAAATGAGCTGTATCGAGCCAAAGGGTTTGGAGTTTCGACGGATGGCTCGAGCGATAGCTTCCAACTTTTCAAACAGTTTGCGGCTCAGCATCGACACTTCATCGATAACAAGAACATCGCAACTATTCCATCTCCTCTCTGCTTCTGCGTTAGCTTTAATGGCACAAATTAGTTCATGAATACTTTTTGACCGAGTACCAATACCAGCGAATGAATGGATGGTTATACCACCGATGTTCTGTGCAGCGATGCCAGTTGGTGCTGTTACAAAACAATGTAGTCCTTTCCATCGAATTTTGTCTATAATATATCGTAGAAAGAACTATTTTCCACTGCCGGCTTTTCCAGATACAAAAACACTATAACTCTCCTCAATAATTCTTTCCACTTTCCGCTGATTTTCACTTAAAATCGCCATAAATTCTTCTTGTTACATATTTGTTTATATTTCCAATGCTTCGCGCCTTCGACCAAAATTCTGTGCGAGCTTACTTTGGTGCCAAATTTGCCACCAAATGACGTATTTTGTCGCCATGGCAAGTACAACGAGCATCATGAGAAATACACGCCCCCTGATTATGGCTTTACTAATTTTTGATCGGTTGAAAAGGGTCACGCCCCCACATGTTTCACTCCCCGTTATTTCTCCCCACTCCGGGGCTCGTCCGGAAAACTCTCGCGCCTTCGGCGCTCGCCTGCGATACAAAGCGTCAGCGGTAAACAATACTATAAACAAAATGGCGGAAATTCAAACTGGCGGATAAACAACGAATAAAACCAGGTAAAAAAAATAATATTTCGCCGTGTTCCTTTCTGCAGAGTGGCTAGATTGTATCTGACTTCTTGGACTAAACATGTCAAGCATGCACGTTTTTATGGTTTCGGCTATTTCGCATTTTAATTTAAGTCGGTCTGCCTTGAAATACGCCAGTATAAGACTAACTAACATCTCCATAATATTAGATTATGNCCCCCACAAAAAGGGATATAATATAAATTTGTATATTTACCTCTATTACAGTAAATAACTTCAATGTACCTATAATGTACTATATGATTTTAGAAAATAAGAACCTATTTTAATTTTCCCTAGGCTAAATAGGTTCTTGTTTATAGGGGGTACCGGTATAAATGTCAAATTGTAGGCTAACAGGTTCTTAATTTTTAGGTTCTTACTTGCGGGTTTTTACTGTATATATGTTGGCTGACAATGGAGGATTCAACCGCCATATCTTTAACTATTCTTCAGCCGTGAGATTATCTTACCATTCTGAAGTCGAAAAGTTCTTCATTCAATGACAGACCATTGTGAGCAGGAACATTGAAATAAGCAATCTGCTCATCTTCGTTGATTTCAACTTTCTCGTAAAATCTTGTTCCCCTCTCAGTAATGGTGAGTTGAAACTTTTGTGTCTCTCGACGAACATGCACTCCGCTTAGTGGAAGCTGGGAAAAGTAAAAGAGAACTTTATAACTTGCCTGGTGAAAAAAAATATTGAAACTCAGAAATCACGAGTCTCACACTCGACATGAATACAGTCCGCAAGCGCCACAGAAAGATGTTGAAACACGGTTAATCTACTTAAACATCCACTTATTTCAAGCCGCTATAAATCCCCTGTAATTTATATTTAGCCGGAGTCTTTGAAAAACGAAATTTATTTGGATGCTGTCTTGCTCATTTTAAAACGGTTTTTTTACTTTAACGACTTAAGATAAAAGGGTGGCAAGTCCATTACTTATGGATAATGTTTTGCTGCTTACCAGTGAGGCTTGGATCTGAATGATGCAAGCCAACAAAATGATATAGGTGGTGAAAACAAACGAAAATCCCTGAAAGAGGAATGCAAAGATTAGTACCAAGAGGTAACAAATGAATCTATGACTAAATATCAATGAGATTTCAAAGGTTAGGAACTTACCATGTTTCTTTCCTCGGGTGGTACCTTAAACTGCTCAAACCTCAAGTTTAGGCAAACATCTGGTTTGTTAGGAGTTACTGCATGATTTTTATAGTGCATTCTCGGATGTGTAGCGGACGGTACGTGACCGATTGCATTATAAAGTTATTTCCTCATAACCCTTACAAACGTGACCATAACTGGGAACTTGATATGCATTTTTCACAGATGAAAGGATATATACAATAAATTCCAGCATGCGTGCCGAACAGCGGAAAATAGTCTGATCTTCTTGCTAAGTGCAAAGAACTATTTACGGGGTACCTTGCAACCGGCACCATATAGATAGAGCCATGCATAGTACCACTGGAATATTAAGTCTCGAAATAAAAGTACAGTTCGGATTGTGAATGGAATTTGGTAAAAAATCGTCTAAAAAACCAACGTAACACTGGAAACAGGAAGTGTTATACTTTAGCTGTAGGCGTTTTTGGCAGGTCACGGCACTTAACCTGCATTCAGTTAAACATGACAATTATATCATTTCCCTGTTTATTTACAGTTATAATTCAAGGATTGCCACTTATAATTGTTCTAAGAAGTTTCTTGGAAAGGGTAACTTCACAACCTTGTTATTGATACCACTTCCACTACACTTTTTAATCGCGGAAACAGTCTGGAGCACGATGTGAATAAACAATTCACCGAAGTCATTGAGCTTCCGTCATTGCTCGGAGACAGAGCAGATAAAATGAGCAGAAGAACTCGTCGAGTTTTAGTTAGGAGCTTCGAATTTTGTTGTTAATCGTGTATTAAGCGGCATCTGAAAAACGAGATATTAACCATTTTACAATCAGTCAATATCTAGCTTAAGAAAGAGGAAATATGGAAAGAGTCATCAACTATTTTCTGAAGACAAAATACTGTTTGTAGAGATTACGGCGTTTTGGACTCCTCTCCTTCCAAAGGGACAATGATGGCAAGAGGGAAAGGGGTATTAAGTTTATTGACGTAGGGTGGCTTCAGGGTTCGAAAGCATGGATTACTGATTTGCTATATAAGATTATTGAGAAGGTTGTCTTTAGCGCTCTTACATATCAGGATGGAAATTAAAAATATTCAACTGAAGATTTTGATAGAATTAACATGAAAAGAGCTGAAATCCGCGCTTTAACTTAGAAAAGTCTCTCTTCAGTCTAAAAATTATGAAAAGTGCTGTCTCTGATCGACATTATCTCCCCCCAATTTGCCTGGCCCTTCAGCTTCGTCGAAGACTCTTATGATTTACATTTTAGACTTCCGTCACGTTCCCAGATCAAGTTCAGCCGTGTTACGATTTTCTACGATCACTTCGTTTTGCCCACATCGACGAATTGGTTTATCCTAGTTGTGAATAGGAAAATTGTACTGTCGAACAGTCTGCTATTATATCGATGCAATTTCCAATTAGGGGTCTAGAGCAATACGAGATTGCAGTGGTTTTTGAATGTCAAGCGTCCAAAACCAAAGTTATAACAACTGCCACTCAGAACAAAGGCTAACATCATCATTAGCCGATGAGTCAAAGAGAAATATGCCAATTGCTTAAAGCACGCATAAGGGGATGGTGGGCAACGCGAATGTGACCGAAGTCCTACAATGCAAATCACCTGTGTCTTCGAGAAAGTTGATTCCAAAATTTTGTAGAAGGAAGTACAGTAGCTGGGCATCCCGGTCCCGGAAGTCACGTTGTCATTTTATTTGATAGTAGCACATTTGGTCGAAGCAAGATCGAATCAATGATAGCACTTTCTACAATTTGAAGACTTTAAACAGGTACGTTCAAGGTGAAGCGCGAACTTTCGCCCTGTTCATATTAATTCTGTCAATATCATCCGTAACTGATTATTGTTGTGAATCGTGTAACACTGGTTAGTAAAAATGCGTTATGAGTGCTTTGATGCAATAAAGCAAAACAATCTCTGTCAGTGGAAAATTGTCTTTTCATTTTCTTAAACTGATACTTTTGCACAATGAAATCCCACTCATTAGTCACCATAACATTATCCTTTTTTCTGCAATTTAGAGAGGGAACCGATTGAACCGTTAACTCGATTAAGACATGAAGTTATCTGTAAGTTGTATGAAGGCGCGTCGTTCATGGGAAATTCAATTGTAAATGACTTTTGTCAATCACAAACAATAACGCAGCCTCTTTCTTCAGTTTGGCACCGATGATAGTAAAATGGTTAATATCTCGTTTTTCGAATGCCGCGTAATACACGATCAACAGAAAAATTCGAAGTTCCTAAGTGAAAGACGACAAGTTCTTCTGCTCCGATCTAGTCCGTCTCCCAGCAATGACGGAAGCTCAATAACTTCGGTGATATGTTTATTGACATCGTGCTCCTGACTGTTTCCGCGATTGAAAAGTGTAGTGGAAGTGGTATCAATAACAAGGTGACGCTACCCTTTCCAAGAAACTTCTTAGAACGGTTATAAGTGGCAATCCTTGAACTTTAATTGTAAATAAACGGGGAAATGATATAATTGTCATGTCCAACTGAATGCAGGTTAAGTGCTGTGACATGCCAAAAACGCCTTCAGCTAAAGCAGAAAACACTTCCTGTTTCCAGCGTTACGTTGGTTTTTGAGACGATTTTTTACCGAATTCCATTCACGATCTAAAATGTACTTTTATTTCGGAACTTAATATTCTAGTGGTACCACGCATGGTTCTGTCTATATGGTGCCGGTTACAAGGTGCCCGGTAAATAGTTGTTTGCACCTAGCAAGATGATCAGACTATTTACCGCTGTTGCACGCATGCTGGAATTTGTTGTATATATCCTCTCGTTTCTGAAAAATGCGTATCAAGTGCCCAGTTATGGTCACGTTTGTAAGGGTTACGAGGAAATAACTTTGTAATGCAATCGGTCACGTACAGTCCGCTATACATCCGAGAATGCACTATAAAAGTCAGGCAGTAACTCCCCACAGACCAGATGTTTGCCTAAACTTGAGGTTTGAGCAGTTTAAGGTACCACCCGAGGAAAGAAACATAGTAAGTTCCTAACCTTTGAAATCTCATTGATATTTAGTCATAGATTCATTTGTTACCTCTTGGTACTAATCTTTGCATTCCTCTTTCAGGGATTTTCGTTTGTTTTCACCAGCTATATCATTTTGTTGGCCTGCATCATTCAGATCCAAGCCTCACTGGTAAGCAGCAAAACATTATCCATAAGTATTGGCTTTCCACCGTTTTATTTTGATTCGTTTCAGTAAAAACATCTAAAAATGAGTAAGACAGCATCCAAATAAATTTCGGTTTCCAAAGACTCCGGCTAAATATAAATTACAGGGGATTTATAGCGGCTTGAAATAAGTGGATGTTTAAGTAGATTAACCGTGTTTCAACATCTTTCTGTGGCGCTTGCGGACTGTATTCATGTCAAGTGTTAGACTCGTGATTTCTAAGTTTCAATATTTTTTTTCACCAGGCAAGTTATAAAGTTCTCTTTTACTTTTCCCAGCTCTGCCTGAAGACGCACCACGACCAAAAGACCTCAACACCGGTTTCACTGAGGTATCTTACTACATAATCTAATATTATGGAGATGTTAGTTAGTCTTATACTGGCGTATTTCAAGGCAGACCGACTTAAATTAAAATGCGAAATAGTCGAAACCATAAAAACGTGCGTATTTTTCATGTTTAGTCCAAGAGGTCAGATACAATCTAGCCACTCTGCAGAGCTTCTTCATCTAAAGACTGTAATTGCCGTGTGGCCGTAAGGGGCCTTTGTCCCAATGGATAACTGAATCATTTCCTACTTTTTTTCATTATTCTCAAGGCTATAAGTCGCCCCACTGATTATCAAATCTCGACGGTGAACAAAGAGTGGATAGTTAGCGGAGAAGTAGATAAGATCTTCCTCAGAAAAGAGATCAGAGAATTCTGTGACCAGTACCCAGTCTACCGTCTGAGGGAATATGTACCAGACTCTGTTTCTGTAGGTAAGTTATAAGTTTCTGAACAGGTTATCAATGTATATATTTCTGTTTAAAGTCCATCAATATGAATATTTTTGCCCTGTGATGTTGGCTTTAAGTGGGTCATGTGACCGAACACGCTCTTGCTAAACTTGACTGGGAAATATTCAATGTTATTGAAAGTGGATTATTTGATAATGCCATCCAAAAGTTTTCATCGGCTTAGTCATTATACCATGCGCATGTATGAAGACGATCGCGCGTTGAACCGAAAGTAACACGTCCAATCATATCCAATACGCCCAGGTGGAATATTCGTGATAAAGTCTTATTCCCAATCTTCAAATCTATTGCAATGAAGGTTTCCTTGAAAGGTTGATAAAAGAAGGAAAGCGTTTCGCTGTTGTTAGAGAGAAAAACTTGTATGTGTTTTAAAAGTCACTCTGAAAAGGGAATATGCAACTCCAACCGCAAGCTATTTGAAATGCTTTTGTTTCGCTAAGCGAAAAATGTTTAAAGGATGAGAACCACGAATGGAGAAGAGTACAGTTGTTTATATGCGGAAATCTGATTTACTTACTACAGCCATTATTAAGCTGCGGTCCTGATGTAAACTGCCGTCAAAGTGTATCATTTTCTAAGCTGTCAAAACACGCTGATGGCTAGTGGTTTGCACGTTCAAACACGATAAATACAATGAAAAGTGGCAGACTTAAATTTGAAACTTAGTGATGCTTCCTCATTTTTAAACAAATTTGTACCTTTCGGATCAGAAAGAATAGAAAAAGAAATTGCGAAAATTAGATTGAAACTAAACTAGAAACTCAAATGACAAAGTACAAAATTGATATCAAACTATCTGTATGGCAATTGTTTGGATACATAGTCGTAATAAGCGTACCATACAATGCAACTTTATTAGATTTGATTTTCCCATTTACTCCTTGCTAGTTATGATAAACATATCAAAACTGTCAGATACTTTGTCAACTCTACTCTATTTGTCGTTGAAAACCATAACATGTTAAAGATAAATGACTGAAACGGCTGATCTCATCTGTTGATGATTTTTTTTTTTCACAGGCAGAAGCCGACGGGCAGCATACTTTTATTCTTGCCGGAATCATGTTCCAGACAATGGGTGCAGTCCTCAGGATTGGAAATATCGATGTAGGGTGAGAACACGAAGCTGCGTTTACTACATCACCTGTAATCTGGATGAACGCAGAAAGACCATCAGTTGCAATAAACTTCGACACACCTCATCCCAGACTATGTGTTGCAATCCTTATTGTCCCTATGGAAGAGCATCATACGGAAAGGGAAGATAAAAATGCATGGGGATGAAAGAATCATTGTATGTGTTTATTTTTATTTCTTTAAGACAGCCTTTCTTGAGGGGAAAAAGAGAGGAAGTCAGTGATAAATACTTAGCTATAGAAATGTTGCTGATCTTAATAACTGGAAACCCATTAGAACATGAAATACTCACTCGGTAAAGGATACTGCCTCATCAACAATAGCGTTGACTGATCATTTGCTAAAGCAAAGAAAGACGTCTCATGCCGTGGACTCAACTTAATTGAAAATATTGTCGTCGTCAAACTACGCTCCGTTTAGGGCAGAAGGCGGAAGAAACCCTATGATACTCAGTAGCCTTGCCACGTGTCGATATGTTTTATGACAAAAAGTACAGCTTCCTCCCTTCTCCCCGATAAGGGAAAGTAAAATGCTAGCGCTAACATCTCGTACCATTTTATTATTTTACTTGCAATATCTCGTTCAATTTGTTATTTAGTAAGTAATAAATCTATTTTGAAAAGTTGTCACTTACACATTGAATTAAGTTTGATTTATGGCTCATTAAAATATATTATTTGGAATCAACGTTTTATTTTAATGGATGTTAGTCAAATGATAATTGAAAAGTAGTAAGGATACCTTTGCTCGAGTTTACGGTTTCGAGCAATGCGCTTAACATGAAAACTCAGTATATGTACACTACTCGAAATATACAAGTAGAGATGTTAAATTTGTGATTTTTATTTGAAACGTGTTTTTCCTTGTTATCGAGCTAGGCGGGAATAAAAATAAGTGAATATGAATTGAACTCGACTGCAGTATGTTGTTGATGATTAAAACATAATAAAAAAAGGTGTCATTTGCACTACCAGTTACATTCATTTGTCGCAGTAACCCTCCTGAATTCTAACCAGATGACTTCGTTGAATCTTGAGGTAGTCAGATTATTTCTAGGAATTACAATCAGAACGCAAAACTGATATTTCTATCGCAACTACAGCAAAATCTTGCTCTGTTGCAAATCTATTTTTCTGATTTTCTGACATACCCCCAGCTATCAGCCACAGTGGAAAACAAATACAAGTTTTCACCAAATTCAACAACCTTGTATAGCTACAATAGAATTGTCCACTGCGGAATTTTACGGAAAAAGTCTCCAGATCACTCTACATAGTCCTCCATGTAGACTGGCTTTAGATTCTCGAAAGATATCATGATGTACATGTCAGTAATACAAAGTACAGCCTCCACACATTTGGAGAAAAAAGAGCAACTATTTGCAGAGGTTGGGAGAGCCTTTCTATAATATCAAGAAATCGATAGATATCCTAGTCTTCTCGGATAAGGACGAATAAACCGTAGGCCCCGTCTCCTGCAGGGTTAGGGGTAGGAGACTGTAATTTCCCACGCATTAGATTACTGTGTGATGGATGTCCTCCCCTGGGGTGGGATGGGTGGGTGTTATTGTACCACAGGGCCCCACAGTGCCCCATTTAAACCAGCTTTACTGAACTGGCTACCCTGTCTAAATACAAATACATAGCCGCTGACCTAGGGAAGAATGAACGGAACGCTCACACACCATGAAAAAAAGAGTTTTACGGAAAATTGACCCAGTTCTATAATGCTCGTAAATGCGTGTAAACGAAGATTTACGTCATCTAGCGTATAGCTTGCGTAAAGGAAACTTAAAGCTGAAGAACCAGATTTACGTTCAATTACAAGACTGAGGTTAAAGTTTTGTAAAGCTAGCATAAGTGTGACTGGACACATTCGTGCTTGTTACATTTTAGGTAAAGGTTGTGATAAGCCATACATTTTGCAAAACAGGTGAAGCCTGATCTTCTCACTAATAACTAAGATGTGGACCAAAGAAAAAAACCTGGGCAGATTCAGGGCTAGGGAAAATTAATGAAGCAACCCTGAAAGACGTGGTGAAAGCCGAAAATATATTTGTGTTGTTCTGAACGCGGCGAGTGAATCCGTGATTTTTAGATCTACAAGAGACAAACAAAGACATTCAGACACTTTTATATGGAAGGTGTTCTGCCCAAGGATTTTACTAACACGCCATTTTATCCCACTAGGGCAACGGAACGCGCAAAGTATGCGACCATCACGGTATCACATCGTGGAGCATGAAAAAAATACGGATGGAAAGCAGGCGTCGGAGTGGCCACACTGACCTATTCAAAGTGTCGACTGGGGCATTTTATCCTTTTTCCAGACTTGCTTTTGTGAACAACGAACTTTTAAGAGCCCCAGAATTTTTTTGTTGGGTCATAAAGAACACTCTTTAATTTTAAATATTTGTGAGCCCCACTCGGATATACGTTTTTGCCGCCCCCTCCTCCCCCC